TTGAATGCTATGTAAAAACAGCTGAGTTAAGCAAGACCATAGATGTAAACAACGCATCTTATGATTTATTCGAAAAACAATTAATGCCATTGGAAATTGGCTTTATCGTAAAAAAGCTTTTAATTATTTAATTCATTTAGCAGTTATTTAGACCTTTGACTACTTTTCCATAGTATAAGTTATTAACGATAGTGATGTCCGATCAAACTCTGCAATATAAACGATTAAGCACTGACCCACACTTAAAAATTGTTCTAATACTTGTTTTAAGTTTCTCGTAAAAGACTTTTCTTTCATTAGTAAACAGAAAGCATCACAATTCCCGGTACTTCTTTCAACAATCGTTGCAAATGTCCTCTGATGGATAATACGAACTGATGCAGAAACTCAGACATTTTTTTGGTTTTAAAATTTTTAAACTGACTGCAAATCCATGACTTCTTGCTGAGCTTCCTGGCTCGTAACACATAGATGGAAATAAAATTATTTTTTTGAATTCTTATGAGTTTCTTGAGTAACGTGACATAGAGTTGGAGATCCTTCTTTATGCTCACCTTAAACTTGAATAATTAAACTGCTAGATTAAAGATTCAACATTAACATCCCATAATCATTAAGAGTTACAAAATACAAATTAACACGTAAAGTTAAGCTCCAAAAACACGTTCCACAAAATGAGTTTTAAAGAATCAATCTGAAGACTAACAAAAAAAGTGTTATTCTGCTGTATGAGGGATATATATGCACACTTATATGTATGTTTGCAGATATGGTTCAACGACTGCATGGATACTTTGTTAGCGCACATTGGGCTAGGGCTCCTTGGGTATAGTACTAACAAAGAGCACATGTATAGTTCTATATATGGTAATAGCACCTTACATGTACATCACATTTACGTATAATTTTTATTTTTGTTTCTTCGCATTTATTTGCGACAGTGTCCAGTCTACCTGTTACATTGTTTGCGGAATCGGCGTTAACCATATCTCCACGAATGTTTAGTATGTGGCGCAACTGCTGAATAGCCGTGTATTAATTATAGTCGAAAAATAATTCTCGCAACAAGGGAACTTGCAAACATAAGAATGAAGGCAAAACCCTTTCTATATTTCCACCTTTCCTACTCGATATTTTTCGATGTAGAATTAATATAAAAACAAATCAGGTAAAATAGTTGCCGAGTTTGCACTGAAATGTGGAATATTTTTTCATATGGAAAAGAATTCATGTATAGTTCAAGTTTCTTAACTTTTAACAATGTCGATTATATCATTGATGTTATTCTCAAAAATTGCGACAATTTAGACTTGTTAGGAACATTAATTCTTTCTAATATTTACCGTTGTATTTCTCAGAAAAAAAAAGTCTTAGCATGACTTTTCTGAATGCTTCTTATTTTAATGATAGGTTGTATTCAAAGAGGCGAAGGACGAAAGGAAGAAGCTTGATAATAGCTGAAGATCAGAAGTAGAAAAGAGTAGAAAAGGCCTTGATGACGCAGCGGAAACAATCATCGATTAGGAAGAAAAAACAAAAAGGAGGTGTTGTAGGATGCACAAGGCCAAGACGCAGTAGTCAGCTACTTGCTGAATTTATCGACATTACATACATTGACATATTTACTAAGAAAATCCTATTTAGTAAAAAGTGCTTATTGTGGACATAATACCCATAGTTACTACAATGTTACCTTAATCTGACACCTTGATCCGATTACCAGTCAAGTATTCGATGCCTAAGAATCAGACTGCAGTGAAGAAAGCTGTCTCGATTTTTTCGTAATATTCGAAATGCGCAGTTTCTTCGGCTGTTTCATATACCATCGTTCCAAGATAGCAGAGCTACATAAGACACTTCAACCGCTCTAAAGTATTTCAGAAGATCAGGTTAGATTACTTGGAATCGGCGGAAGTCAAATTTACAATGCTTCAATTTGTGATCTGCACATTTTGAGGTTGGTAAAGCAGCTCACCAGCCAAAGGTTTTATCAAAGTGTTGTCGGATAACACAACCCATCGCCTCTTGCCAAAAGATAAAGCACAGTGCAGATCCCGGAAAATGATACGTAATATCGAAAAGTCGAATATTAGGTCGGGAAAAGATTTCGTGGTTTATTTTTGTTATTGTAAATCCGGAGCATTACAGTAACCTTTATTGTCTTATACAATATAGTAAAATATCGTACTGAAATAATAATAGGGACGAAACGAAGAATACACAGTTAGTATTAAAGGATACCAAACGGTTTTGTCATTCGCGTTGTTGAATTACCTTATTACCGCTTCTCTGCCACTGGACTACTGTCATGGTTATAGGGAAAGCTAATCTGTTGAACTCGTTTCTCAGCGATATAGATTTATTCGGGATGTAATATTGTTCTTCGCAATATCATTAGTTAACAATAAAAAGGGTGTAAGATATACATGTATATATTACACGATGAATTGGTAAGCAGTAATGAGTTACACAAAAAGCAAGTAATATGATCAACTGACAAATTCCTTGTCGTTGCCCTCGATAATAATTTGACTGTCAGTTAGTTGATAGGTCATTCATTTGTGGATATGTTATGGAAAATGTATTTAGCGAATAGCAAGGATATCGTAGTTTGTTGTCCAATGGTGGCGGATATGCGAAGATGTCGCTGTTTGTGGTTCAATCGTGGGAAATAAACGAAGAGGATGTATCGTCTGCTCGGTTGTAAAAACTAAACTTTTGGGTTTTACATATATAAGGATTAGGGAAGAGTTTTGCAAGCTCCATCGGGATTATTATGGAGGTATGACTAGCCTTTGGCAGTTCATTGTGTAGGTACAATGGTATCATTGTCTATGGTGTAGATAGTGAGATGTCTGTGTTATGCTGTCCATCGTTAGCGTATATCGTCTTCAATGCTTTATTTTTACAAGATTTCATCATCCCGTCTGTTAGATATTGTGGAAATTTTGTTTGAACATAGCTTTGATTTTGGTAATCCGACAATGGTTGGGTGCTTGACTATGCTGTCTCCTTGAGTGATTGTGCAAGCTAACTCAGTGAGCTTCAGATTGTGTAAGTTTTCGAGCCTTTTGGATTTGGTAAATGATCCTCCGAATGATTGATCCTAGCTGCTTTTATAGTGGGAACGATTTAACATTCCAGATACATTGGCTTAACTACCGGACTAGAGGTTCTTTACAAAATTTCGACATTTGCACATAAGTTCTCTACAGCATTCCGACAATTGCATGTAAGTTTGATCAACGGATTGGAAAAAGTTTACAACAAAAGCTTTGTCTGCAACATCTAAGTATTGCAATTAAAATTAAATTTTTAAAATTTTTAAAATTATTTAATTTTTTAAATTTTTAAAATTAAATCGCCCTTAAGCTCACTTCAGTGCTTACTAGTGTTCAGGAAATTGCAGTTTATTTGGTGATTCCTTAATACAAGCCAGCATTCCTTGGACATTTTTGATTACTCAATTGGTGACCATAAAATTTTGATTTTTTTTAGATAAACAAGATTTTTACGGAATATATCGTTAGGTGGGCGTGCTTCATTGATACTGCGAGTGGAAACAAAGGGCAGTAATCTCCTTTGTTTAAAATAGACATCGATGTGTCATATCCGTTCATTGTTTTACATGGGCGCTAACAAAAGGCGCTTCATCAATGTGCGCTCCAGAAAGGTGTTCAGTTTTGGAACTAAACATTGAACTCGAATTCAGTCAAGTTGAGGATTGAAGTATTAGAAAAGTGAAATTGAAACAATTGTCATTTAAAAAAGGAATTTGTCCTCCTGTCAACTGTTGTATGCGATTCACTTTAACCAACCTTCATATTTTTTTGTCCCGGGGCATAAAAGATCAAGGGATGTGAGATATGGAGAATGTGAAAAAAAGTATGAAATGAAATGTGCAAAAAAAATGAAATATGAAATTGGTTACATACTAACGGTGGCATACTAACGCCTCATGACAAACTGTTCTTAATATAATTTTATTTCCTGTAATTAAGTATTTAATTCCATTCCCTATAATTGTCCCCATAATT